CTGAATAGTAGCATGTGTGCTCTTGTTCATCATAATGACCAGGATTATAATAGCAAAAGTGCTTTTAAAAGGATTTTTATCATTATGAATATTTCTCTTTTTATTATTTTAAAGAGCATAAAAAATAATTAAAAAATAAAACTAGATCCTTACTCTTAAATGAAATAAATGGGGCACATGTGTTCAAAAAGCATAAAAAATAATTAAAAAATTAGGAATGATACACAATTTCACTGAATAAAGTATGAATTTGACAATAAGTATTTCTCTATGAAGCTTAAATTTCTATTGTCAATTCTTTAAGATTTCTTTAGAGAGTTATGAAAAGTTTAGATTTTTAAAATCAGAATCTTATGGGGCCGGCCAGATAGCACAGCGGACTAAAATGCCTGCTTTGGCACAGTGCAGCAGCCAGATTCGATCCCCCGCGTGCCATGCCAGCCCCGCCACCGAGTTGCACTGAGAGGGTAAATGAGACTGGGTGTGGTGGCCCACACCTGTAATCCCAGCACTTAAGAGGGAATCACTGAGTCCAGTCTACAGAGTGAGACCCTATACACCCTGCCCTAAATTCATAAATAAATAAATAAAGCCAGGATCTTAGTTGGGCATGGTGGCACACACCTATAATCTTTGTGAGTTTAAAACCAGCCTGGGCTACAAAGTGAGCTCAAGGCCAACCTGAAGGGAAGGAACAGGCCAATCTGTTTTTTTGAGAGACCCTGTCTCAAAAAAAAACACAGAAAAAGCATAAAACCACGATCTTTAAAATGTTTTTACAGGTAAAACATAGCAATATATGCACTAGATTTATTTCACTCACTAAAAAATTGTGACCACATAGCAACAACAATAATAATATAATAGCTTTCTAAAGAACATTTTGTGCAAACCATGAAGCAATGAGCGTGAGACCCAGGTCTCTTGATTGGCTGAAAGACCAAAGCAAGGGTTTTTTTTTTTTGGTTTGTTTGTTTGTTTGTTTGTTTTGGGGTATTTGACATGAGGTCTCTTTAAGTAGCTTGGGCAGGGCTTAAACTCACTAGGTAGCCCAGGCAGACATCAGACTTGCAGTGATCCTCCTGCCTCAGCCTCTCAAGTGCTGGGGTTACGGGTGTGCACTACCCATCAGAGTTTTTAAGATTTATCTTACTGATGAGAAATAGAAGCCAATAAAATGTTTAACTTTGCTATGTCAATTTAAACACTTGAAATTGTATTTATAGGATTATTGTTCAGTCCTTATTTTTCTTAGAAATAAAGCTAAATAAGTAAATTAAGTTTTCCTTCTTAAAAAAGAATGAGAATTACTTGCAACGAAACAAGTAAAAACACCCACTCAGATTGAAAAACAGTTGTAGAAAGTTTAAGTTTGCCTAAAAAAAAAATGAATTTTAAAAATCTAAAACAATCCCTATTCTTCCATATTCTTTTAGGGACAAAAGGTAAAACTGTCAAGCATCGTGTTACATCATGGACTGAGTGGAAATTCTGTGTCCTGCAAGACTCAGAAAAAAGAAAACGCAATTACCTGAGTAAGGTAAAATACTGCCATCTGCTGATCAGGGTGATCACATCAGCCCTCCAGATCCGCAAGCATCAAGACGGACTGTGGATTTATCCCACATGTCTTTTAATCTTGCTAAAAAGCACCACATTGGAGATAGAAACATTAATCAGTCTCCTACATGAAAATTTAGGACTTTATGACTCATCAGCCTGTGATTGCTGTTGTTAACTTTGAAAATGAACTAACACTTAAAAGTGAATATGTCCTTCATTTAACCAGATTTGGTTAGACCCGCAGCAGTTACATCGCTAAAATGTAAATGAGGTGGGGCTGGGGAGATGGCTCAGTGGAATAAGTGCTTCCCTGGCAAGCTCAAGGGCCTGAGTTCAATCCCCGGTTCCGCAAAAAAAAAAAAAAACCCAAAAAAAAAAATGTAAATGAGGAAATGCTTATTGAATTAGCCACTTTCCCATGCCTGTAACAGATACCTGACAACTGCAACTTGAAGGAAGAGAGGCTCATTTTGGTCCACCTGGTCGTGAGCACATCACGGATTAATCCAGTGTGGCCCTGTGATCCACCTGCCCTCCCAAAGTCCCCCCATGAACAAACGACTTTGGGGGGACATTTTAGATCTCAACTATAGTGATTTTACCTAGAATTTCTGACTAGAAATTGATAAAAGTTTGTATAAAGGCTTTCCTTATAAATGTATAACGGAACTAAATTTGGTACAGGGTCTTGCTATGCCACTTGGACTCATTGTGATCCTCCTGTCTCAGCCTCCCCAGTGTGGGGATTACAGGCATACACCACAACATGCGTCACCACCCCAGGTTTCACCATGCCCAGTTTTAGTGGCTGGCATGACCCACCCAGGGTTCCAGGGTCAGCACAGCATGTGGTGTGGAAAATTGAGCCAGGTCCCTGTGCTTGCCAGGCAGGCACTCAGGCTGCTGAGCTATCTCCCCAGCCCTAAAAAGTAATTAGTTGAACAGAAAAATTTGAAGTTGTATTCATGACTCAGTTACTCAACAAATAGTTGAGTGGCTGCTGTGCCAAAATAGTAATTCTATCACCTGCAGAGGACAGAAGCAAGGCCCAGTGTCTGTCTTCCGGGAGGGTTCCTATCTTGAAATCAGAGATATTGTCTCAATTATGTTTCTCACCCTATTGAGGGGAAAAATGAAACTCACAACCTGAAAAGCACCTGGGATGAGTTCGTGTTCTATAAAACTGAAGAATAAATTTTAGGAAAAAAAAAATTATGTTTCTCATTGTTGGAGCAAGCCTCTATCCCTTCCTTATATTGCATCCAGGCTGTCTGCCCCAGGTTGGGTGTAGAGCTCACACCCATAATCCCAGCAGCACTCACACCCATAATCCTAGTATGGGATCATGAATTAATCACCAACTCTAGAAGGCTGCCCCATGACTGCAGGAGGCTTTGGGGGGACAACTAGACACAAAGCAGAGTAGGCACGTAGAACAGTATACGACATGCTGCCAGGGGCTTCATTCTGCTCTAGGGGGTGCACACATTTTACTGCCAGCACATACACATTAACGTTTAGTAAGCACTTGTTTCTCAACTACTTATAAATAAGCACAGACTTGTCCAAGCACTGTATTTTAAACCTTTTCCCTGAGAGGTGTTTTTGTTCTCTTGCTGTTCCCAAAAGCCTCAGAAGGTAATACGCATAACACTTCAATTTCTCTCATCCCCTACATCAAATCTATTAACAAATACTACTGATTTTACTTCCTAAATATCTCTCTACTAGGAACTTTCTTTTTGTTTTCTCTGGCACTACTCTGGCTTCTCTCTCACCAACTACAGTACATCTTAACAGGCCTACCCACGTTCCCTCAGGCTTGCCCATTGTTCCTACCTGCAAATCCCCATCTCCAGGGACCAGGCACAGTGCATGGACCACCTCCATCTCTAGCATCAGCTCAAACCCTGGGTTCTTTTTTTTTTTTTTT